TTCACTGTATCTTCAAGTGCATTTGCAACTATTTCCCACTGAAGTTTCTCAGGCTGCTGAAGAATGCTGAGGGCTGTTATATCAAGGCTCACTTCCATGGTTTCCTTTTGTGATGTATGTCCTTTGGGATAAATAAACCAGTGTTAGACAAAAATAAAAATTTATAGCTACATGAGAAATTATGAAAATCCTATCATAAAGCCTAGCAGAATCAATTATCTGGCATCTTCAATCAATGACAAGATAGGAAAATCAGTCAAAGTAGCATATTTTAAGGCTGTTTCACAGATTTCTCAGGAGCAAATCCTGGGTTGCTCCCAGCAGTATACTCAACAGCAGGGGTCGCCAACCTAAGCGGCCCACAGGGGTCATTTTACCGGCCCACGAGCTGCCCCTGAACCGCGCCGCCCGCTCAGTGAGCCCCTGTGCACTGCGCTAAACCAGCACAGCATGGCAGGGGATTCGCTTTCTTGGTGCCAGAAATCATGTCTGCACATGCAGACACTGGAAATCATGTCTGCGCATATGCAGATGCCAGAAATCGCATCTGCGCAGACATTGGAAATTGCGGGGCTGCGCCCGTGATCCAGCCCATGGAGGGGGCTCTGCGGCAGTGTACCGGCCCAGGCAAGGTAAGTCTTGCCGACCCCTGCTCAACAGGGTGTCGCATCTAAGCCTAGTTCCCTGGAAATTTGCCTGTATGATACACATTTTTATAGAACAAATATAGGCCCAGTTCAGATGTAACAACAAATTATGGTTTGTTTTGACCCAAATGAGCCAGCACTAGTCTCATGCTTGCACAATCAACCCCTCTTTGCAAATATAGGGAGAAGACTTAAAGCTTTTAACTCTGGTTAGCATTTCCCCCCACCTCCAATACATTAAGATGGGGAAAGCATGCAAATATTGGTAGTATTACTGTCTCTACTGCTAAAATGAGATGTGTGGGGGCTATTTCAGGGGTCTCACTTGTAAAGGGAGCAAGGTAAGACAGTTTGCCTCTCCCACCATAAATAAAACAGTAAGGTTTACAATGGCCCTCTGCTTCCCCATCTGCAGCAATGGAGATTGGATATTTTGCATATTATGTCAGAGAAAAACAATGTAACTTAGCCCCCAGCCAGCCCAGGCTGCGAGAAAGATCCTTTCAGCAGCTTTGGAGATTGCTCCTACACTGCTGAAAGGATCATCCTTCATCTGAGCCCAATTCATCCACAAAATATTACAACTTGTTAAATGTAAATTCAAATGGCTCTTCCAGACTGTCACTATTTTGCATGTGAAATCAGATGTAATAAGCCTCTATCGTTTTTATTTTTGCAGAAAGGTAGGTGAAAGGAAAATACACAGGAAGATGAGGGATAACAATTGCTTCACATGACACCAGGATATCTCCCCACAAATCAGAATGAATATTTAATAAATAATGGATGTCTTATAATCTCCCTGGCAACTTTGTCCAAACAAATTAAGAGGAATGTTCAATAAGTTGTTTGGAAGAAACCAAAATATTTTACTACGAAAAGCAGTATACAAAATTCTAGCTGTTTACTGACTTAAGTATACTTAAATCACTCACTGCTAGTGATCCTACATTCCGCACTGTACCAAAGAGATATTGTATGCCTACCAGTCACTGATTCTGATCTGGAATGCTCTTCACTGTCTGAATCCTCCAGTAAATCATCACTAAAGACAAGACAAAGATCACAGAGATGGTGAAGCCAAAGCAGCAATTTAATGTATTAACATTGCACTTAGCGCTAAACTTCTTTTAAAAAAACTTCACAACGTTTTCAAAATTAATGTTTATTAATTGTGTAAAAGAGAAGGCTATAAATCATAAATAACGAACACGGGAGAGAAACTCCCAGGGGAACAGAATAATCAGGGAAGGATTTAGTTACAAGAAAGAAGTAGACTCCACTCAGAGCTCTTTGGGAGACTTAGCCTTGAGAGTAAGAATGTATGGGTGGGGGTGGGGAGCGTGTTATGGGAAAGGAAAACATCTGGACAGAGGGGTAGGTGAGAAAAAGAAGTATCACAGGAGATAATAGTCAGAATGCAGAAAGAAGGGGATGATTGCTTTCCTCCCACTCGTTTCAGAGCAGTTCCTCTGTCTATATAGGGCCACGTTGATATTGGATTGAAGGGGGGGTTGCAGTAGAAACCTTTTCCTGTAGACATTACATTTTTCTTTGCCAATCAGAAAATGAAAACAATTAAAAACAAAAGCTTCACGTTCCCAAGAAAGGATGTTTTAGAAGGATCTCTCAATGTTCCAAAAATCCACTCTCATTTTCAGGCAAATAAGTACACACAGGTCCCATTTTCCAAACAAAATGTGTTCCCAGGCAAACATTCATATACGGAGCTAATGATTTCCATTATTTCCTATGGGAATGTTTCTAATCTGTGATTTTCCTCTTCTCTCTCCCTCCTGCCCAAAATTGCTCCAGCCAAACAAAGGAAAAACTGATTTATCCAATCTCCCCTGCTAGCCAATTTTGTCAATTCCTCTCCCGCCCTCAGCGGTTTCTGCCCAAAATGGCTGCCACCAGCCAGGAAAACACAAACAAGTAAGAAAGTGGGCAAACTCTGGCTGTTGGGATATCTGAATCAGATGTTTGTGTAGCAAGATTTGGGTATAATTATTTGTGCCGAGATTTCTGATAATGAGCATTCTTATAGAAGGACCTGTGTACACTGTATACCAATAACAAATTGTGAACAGCATTTTCTTTGTGCATAACCAGGGCTAAAAAGAGGCAAATTTTAGCATACCTATCTCCTTCCAATTTTGGTATATCTGAACAGCTAGATGAATCTTCTATCCATGCTATTGTTGGTCTTCTTGAGTCGACCCCTGAGCTCTGCTCTCCAGACAACACAAGCTGTTGTACAATTACTGGATCATAAGCATTGATCTCAAATTTTAAGTGCACCTAAGCAAATCCAAAAACATAATGCGATTTAGAAAGACATCCCCATCTAGCAAAATTAGCATTAGAACTCTTAAAATATGAGATACCTTCATAAGTTTTGAAACATCCCATATACAGATCTTTCCTCGTTTCGTTGCAGCAGCTAAAAAGTGAGGACAGCTCCCCGATCCAAAGCAGACTATTCTGTCTGTGCCATCTGTACAAGGAAACTGCGCTGGACTTGTTGCCAGCGTCACCGAGAGGGGCACATTTTGCGTGTGCTCGCCTTTCACAAATGGGCAGTTTGGGGAATGTCTTTCATGTTCAGACCTTAATGGATTAGAAAAATAAGTGTTTAAATGCAATAGAATAAGCTTGTCTCATCAACTTTCTTGATGCGCACAGGCTAGGATCCTTAGCACCTTAACACACAAAGTATATTAAAATACATAAATTGGAAGCACTTGTCTGCTTTGAGAAAACATTGTTCTTAAAATGGCTACAATTTTCACTACAATAATTACTGTAGAATGAGTACTGCTGGCAAATGACTGTTTTCTCATTTTAAAAGTTTGTGTGCATATTTATTTATTTAATGTATATACTACTCTTTGCTCAAGCCAGAGTGGTTTACAACAGGTATATAAGATAAAAACCCACGAATAAGACAATACTTAGAAAACACGTACCACTAAAAAGCAATTACTAATAGTAGCAGCAATGAGATCTCTCCTCCCAATGCCTGTCCTAGCCTTCCTAAAACTATAAACATATGTGAATGATGCACCTCAGTAGGGAGATACTTTTTATTAAGGATAACATAGAAAATACAAATAACAAATAATGGGTATTGTTCACCACATGCAAAGCTACATTTTAAGCTTTTTATCTCTTTTAAGTTTCGTTACCAGCTGGGCTAGCTAAAGATCTACATAGACCAAATATTGTTTCCTATCTAAAATACTGTACAGTATTGTAATAGAAAGCAAAAAGTGTATCTCAAATATTTTATTCTCACCAAGGTTCATCTGTTGGCTCCCAGCACACCAAACACACACTACACGTAAAACACATGGCTCTGTCATCTCCTGATGAGGCAGGCTGTTAGGAGCAGGGAGGGAAAGAGAGAGAAAATACTAAGTTGTAAGAACACATCAACATTGTAATGAGCTACCTTGGCCATTTAGTATATAAATTGAATTGGGAGTAAGTCGCATTGAAGTGGTATTATTACTTCCAAGTAAACATACATAGGATTGTATTATGTAACACACTTGTTAACCAGGTTCCCAAAAAATGACACAAATAATTCTATGTTCTCAAGGATGCAGTATGGCAAACCACCTTTAAATATGAGATCCAAAAGCAATTTCGCATATGGCACGTGAGCCTGTTTCAAGAGGGGGAAGATCAAATACATCCCACGGCATGTGTCAAACCCTAGGAAACAATTAACTCATGAGTAGCCAATGTGATGTCATCTAATACCCCAGATCATTGTCATGCTGACAGCTGGAGAACAAGAACATCCATGCTGGGTAGCCTGCTTTAAATCTTGAAATCACAGCTCTACCTCAATAATGTTAACCTAAGGATTTTCTGGCTTTCTATTATCAAGATACCCTTCCACATGATTCTCTTTCTAAAGGGACCCTGTACATCCAGCATGCAACTTCTGCATATTAGAGTGCCCTAAGAATGCATTGTAAATATTAATATTCTGCAAACCAAGGGAGTGTCTTTCCAATGATGGTGCCCCAGATGAGGAATACCCTCCCCTCAAAGGTATGTCTGATGCAGATTTATGAGTTTTTGGTACCTGATGAAGAGATACCTGTTCCCTCAGGTGTTTGCTAGACACTAGTGCCTGTTATTATTCTAGTAGTTTCTTTTGGCTGTTGAGGATGTCATGATCATAGAAAATCAACTGAAATCAATGAACTTAAATTAAATCCATTTATTTTAATGGTTACTCTTCATGACTTCGTTAGATATCACAGAATCATAGAACTGTAGAGTTGGAAGGCACAACGAGGGTCATCTAGTCCAGCCCCCTGCAATGCAAGGATCTTTTACTCAACATGGGGCTCAAACCCATGACCCCGAGATTAAGAGTCTCATGCTCTGCCGACCAAGCTATCTTTTATTATGTGCACTGTATTTTATGTCTGTTGCTTTGGGTTTGCCGTTCCATCAAGAGAGGGTAATATTTTAAATAGAATAAAAATAATGTTGCTGGTGGAAGACAGCCATCTTTCTGGTAGATCTGTTTGCTATTACTCATCTTCTCTTTGAAAACAACTCACAGGTTTCCTTGGAAGATAATTCAAAAACCACTGCTACAGCTCAACATCATTTTGGTCTGTCTCATTCAAGAACAGTAATTAAAGTTTTAAGAATAGCATATTGTTCTTGGCTGGAGCCAAAGAAAACAGTTCCAAATACTATACTTCTAAACAAAGGCTGGAAATAAGTATTTCACAACTTTTGCTCCTCTATATACAGTATTTTATTTTTATTATTTTTATTTATTAGATTTGTAAACCACCCTTCATCCAAAGATCACAGGGTGGTTCACAACATAAAAATGCAAAAACAGAAACAGAACAATAATACATTAAAAAAAAAACCATTAACTCCCCTCCCACAAAAAAACACTTAAAGGCCTGGTTATAGAGAAATGTTTTCACTTGGCACATAAAGATATGTAAAGAAGGCGCCAGGTGAGCCTCCCTGGGGAAAGCATTCTACAAATAGGGAGCCACTGCAGAAGAGGCCTGGTCTTGTGTTGCCACCCTCAGAACCAGCTGAGGCACACAAAGAGCCTCAGATGATGAACGTAGATTTTGGGTTGGTTCCTATAGGGAGAGGTGGTCCAGTATTTTGATGCAATTGCCTTTCAAACATAATTGCAAAAGTAATAAAATATGGAAAGTTCAAATAATTACTTTACAAGAGTCATTATATAACAATTTCCCCATCTTTCTATTTTGTGAGCTCTTGCAACAGCAACCAAATAGTCACAATTTCACTTTATAGGTCCAAATAAAACAACAGTCTAAACCAGCAGACACCTAGCAAATTGTCTTCCAGTTATCATATTTGAACATTCAGCATCAAGAATATAATACTACATAATACTACATAAATAATGGCCATTTATAAAAGGTGCCGAAAATTTTACCTGATGGTAGAACCCAGCTTGAGCCATGGGATCTGGCTGTGCCCACCTATAACCTACATGAGGCCATGAAGTGAATGTTTCCCGTCTGTTAGCCTCACTATACATCAATGACCTTTAAAAACAGAAAACAGAAATTGCAAGTTTAGGTGTGAAAAGAGGCTGCTTAATTTTTGCAACACCCCACCCATCTTAGTTCTGCTGTCCCAAAGAAGAAATATTATTCACTACTGTATTTGCACCTTGTTCACACAACCAGAGATCACTAACATAACTGCCTGGCTCCCATTCCCTGATTCAAAGAGTTTCCTACCCATATATTAATTCCACCACCCATATTCTAACTTTCCACAATAAAAACAAACAACCTCTTCCATCCTTGGGCACCTTTGCCTGCCACTAAAAGGCATTTCCCAAAATGGAGATTTAGCATGTTAGGTCACAAGTCATGCAGGCTTGCTGTATTGTGTTACCAGTGGAGAGATTGATAAAGAGTACCACTCCACAAAAGCCTAGATACATACAACCTACCAACTGCTCAAGGAATCTTCCTTGTGCATCCAAAGGGCGGGCAGGTGTTAATGTATGGGGCTTTCATCTTGATTGTGCTTTGCAATCAAGTTTCTGGTCCTCATATAAGATGGATACATGACAAATGCTTGGTAATGCAGCCCATAGTCATACATACTGGTCCAAAAGGACTTGGTCCAGCAGACCTTTCTGCTCAGGCCCTCTGGGACTGCAAACCTACTGGGACTGTCAAGTCATCTGAAAGACGACAGCACGTGGCTAATGTCTCTATTTGGCTTGGCAGCTTACAGGTTATAAACAGGTCTACCCCCATTCATAAACATTTGTGTTGCAACTGAATACACACTAGCAAGTTGCACTTTTCCCTTCTTCTAACCATCCTACCATCAACAAATTCATTCCTCTTTTAGAGTCAGGAACCTCTTCTTCAAGCCATCTAGAGAAATAAGGTTAAAATGGCACCTTAAAATCCTCTCACCCTCCCACTTACATTATTTCTTCTATTCAAATTAATTCCAAATGTGTTTATATTGGAAACACCTGAAAGTCACATACACAAAAGCAACAGATTGCAACAGATAAATTAGCTTTTCCATACCTATCTACTGATCGGCCAGGCCCCACACCAAGTTCAGGTCGTGCACTGGGCAAGAGGTACGATAATCTATCCATCACAGATGAGGCTACAGGTAAGGCAGCAATATTTTGATTTATCTTCTTGAGTTCATTTACAATGGCACTGGCGACAGACTTCAATACATGATGCGGGAGATGGAACATAACCGTTGCCCACTACAAAGAGAAAAAGCAATGTAGTATGTATATGTGTGTGTGTGTGTATACATATATATAAACACAATATTGGACATGTGCATCAGGTCTATATGGAGATCCTCAAAATCTGTCAGTACGGACCATTTAAACAGCAATGATTCCACTACTTTGAGATGTGGAAAGAACTGGCATTACAGATTGTGACTAATCAGACCTTTGAAGTTTCACATAGTATAGGACAAACTAGGGAATGTGAAAAGTATAAAAAAACATTGAAAATTAACAATAGTTTGATTCCTACTTCTAAGAATACAGTGGTACCTTGGTTTGCGAACATAATGCGTTCAAAAACCAAAGCGTCCTGCAGCCAATCAGAAGCCACAGAAGCTGCACTGGATGTTCAGCTTCCAAAAATCATTCAAAAACCGGAACACTCACTTCCGGGTTTTGATTGTTCGGGAGCCAAGGCGTTCAACTTCCAACGTACGACTGTACTGGGAAAGGGACCTCCCTGATTTTCAGAATCAAACATTCCATTGTGGGAGTTTCCCCAACCCTCGGAAGATACTTTTCCTCACGCACAAAGTGGTGTAGCTGAAAGTGGTTTACTCAGTTCAGGCCACTTTCTGTAGCCCTCCCATCTTGCTACTGTATCTTACACTGGGATTCAGGGAAACTCAAAGACCAGAGCAGAAATTGGGTCAGTTTCACCAATTAATCCAAAATACAGAGAATTATCCTAACACTTAGTAAAGGTCGTTCCTCAAAAACAGTGCAAATATACACCCACGTAGACTTAACACAGCTGATAGAGAGAAACAAGCCTTTTACAAACTGATTAAAACACTTTTTTCATTTTTCCTTTCAAAAACTTAAAGCGAGTAGCTTTAAAGTTAACAAGAAAGACTGGTAAACTTCCTTCTTTTAAGATTAAGCCAGACACATGTCATAGGTGGATTTAAGCAATAAGAAAATTACTGAAGTGGTGGCTGACTCCCAGAAAAGTCCCCTGCATGGATTTATGGCATGACTGAGCCTCATATGGTTAAGGGGAACAAGGTTGTGCCCCTGGTCCCACCAAGACACTACCCCTGCCTGTCCAGCTCTCCACAACCCAGATCTACTGTGCATTAAAGCAAAGGTCTACATGGGGAGCCAGCTATATTTGTGGAAACTTCTCCATGCGATCAGGAGACCCAAGCACATAGAGGTGCCTTCGCAAGTACACCCAGCTCCCCTGTCAGATCTTTTCTCGACATACTGAGGTTTAGAGGCAGAGCTGCTAGGAAGGCACAATGTCAGGACATGGCCAGAGCCGCAGCTCCACTTCCCTTTAATCATGGAGTCTCTTCACATAATAAATGTGGGGAGAAGGCAAAAACACAAAAACCTGCATTGAGTTCTCTATCCTTTACATGTTATTATGGCATGCAATTCTGTACATTATTCATGTTTAGGCCCTGAAAGATAAATTAATTGCATATGACAACAAAAACCTGTAAAGATACTTCCAACAACATGCAACAGAAACAGCCAAGAGGTTATCCTTCTAGCATTTGAAAGATTTGAGCGGATAAATCTCTTACCTTTGCAACTTTGTGGTTTGCTGCTGTTTCATGTGAGGTATTTTTTAAGCCCTCTTTCAATTGTGCGAGAAACAAATCATACCCCTCTGTGCTTGACACATCTACCTTCTCGATGCATGCAGATAACAGTTGTTGAGCCTAAGATGTGCGAAATATGTTAAAAATGTCTAAGACAACATCAAAAGATCAGTCCTCGTTCAGTATTATTTATTTAATTTCCTACATCCCTACAAGTCTTACAAACCAACGTATTATATACCCATTCATTATCAAAGTTCTTTTTTTAATATTCAAAGGCTTATCAAAGCTTTGCAGATGCTGGTTTTAGGTATAAATTCAAGGCAGGGAAGTTTAAGAAATATATTCTACGTTGTACAAACATTAAATCTAGATAGCTCTGAGGCACACACTACTAATTTATTACTATTTATTGCATTTGTATCCCGCCTTTCCTTCAAGGAGTTCAAGGTCATATCATGACTCTTCCCCATTTTTACTTCTCAGAGTTGACCTGAGATACTAGTTTCTCAGACCCCAAGTCTATTCAGGCCTTGCTGCTGCTCAGTCACTATATTTACCAGAAATGTTCTCAGAATCTATTTATATTTATTAATTTGGAGCATTTACTTCTCCCACCCCAGAAATATTCCTGTGGATATTCATGGACCTAGCTCCAAGTAATTAAGAGATAGATAATCCAAAAGGAACTCCATTAACAGCATAAATATGAACAATTTCCGACATCTACTGAGCTGCCAGCCACCTGAAATCCCAAAGGCAGAATAAGGCCTTGAGTTATTCACCAGCAAATTCCAATCAGGAAGGAGATCCAGCCAGAGGCACAAAGGGCACCCAGCAGAAGAGAAAACAATTTACTACCACTTCCAAAAGCTTGCCTGACCTTTGATATTAACAAAAATTACTCATTCGTGGCAGAAGAACATTGATATTAGAGGAAAAACATTGAGCTACAGTTTGAACATTAGAAAAGAGCAAGGTAATAGTAGGTGGCTAATGGTTTCATTTACTGTATTTTTTGCTCTATAACACGCACCTGACCATAACACGCA